TTAACTACTTGCCTACCGAGCACTTTCACCCCCTTCCTGCCCAGGCCAATTTTCAGCTTTCAGTGCTGTCACACTTTGAATGACTATTGCGCAGTCATGCAACACTGTACCCAAACAAAATGTTTATCTTTTTTTTTTTAGACATTTGGACTTTTATTTTTGGTCATTTAATCATCACTGGGTTTTTTATTTTTTCCTAAACAAACAAAAAAAAGACCGAACATTTTGAAAAAAAAGTGTTTCTTAGTTTCTCTTATACTATTTTGTAAATAAGTAATTTTTCTCCTTCACTGATGTGTGTTGATGAGGCTACACTGATAGACGGCACTGATGGGCACTGATAGGCAGCCCTGATAGATGGCCCTGATAGACTGCACTGATAGGCAACACTAATGGGCAATGAAAGGCAGCACTGATGGGCACTGATATGTGGCACTGATGGGCACTGATAGGTGGCACTGATTGGCACTAATTGGTACTGATAGGTGGCACTGGTGGGCAGCACTGATGTATACTGATAGACTGCACTGATGAGGAGGGACTGATAGCCGGCACTGATGGGCACTGACAGGCATCATTGATGGGCATTGATAGGTGGCACTGATAGGCAGCAATGATGGGGCTGCACTGATAATCAGGGTACTGATGATCAGTGTCATGATTATCAATGTAGATGTCCCCTCTGAGGATTGACGCTTACTGGCATTTCCTATTTACATGTGATCAGCTGTAATTGGACACAGCTGATCACATGGTAAAAAGCTTACATCAGTGACTCTTTACCACAATCAGTGATCCGTTCTGTCCAAGGGACACAGCGCACCACTGATTGCCCCCCTCATGCCCCTGGGGGTGGGCATGTGCAGCTAGAATGGCAGGACATCATATGACATCCTCCCAGAACAAGACATCATTTACCAACATGGTGGGTGGGAGGCGGTTAAAGACTGATCAAACCACATATCAATCTGAATGACTTTTTAACTTTAATTTTCAAGAAATGTTATTACATCAATTGTTTGTTGATTGTGGGTCTTTCAGAAAGCATACACACTGTAGCAGGTTGACACAATTGCAATAGGTGCAATGAATATAAAAATTATTTATGTAGGCCATCCTTTCAGTTGGTGATTCTTTGCTAAGCATTACCTTCACTTTTTTTCATAAAACAATATCCTTTTGCACAAATATGGGCAAAAATGAAGAAGTTTAGGGACAATGACAATCACTGAGGTCCAATATCACAATAAAGAGACCCAGTTTATCAGCAGTAAAATGGAAAGATCTCAAATCCTCTGGATATTGTCTCTCTTGTCTTCTTTTTCAGCCTCTTGATTGGCTGTTTCTTATTGTGCCACTATTCAGAAACACACAAAGAGGTGGTAAGCTTACCCCTTCATAAAAGTGTATTCAAACCACCTGAATAACAAAGCATCACTTTATGCCTTCTATTTTTATTCATATCTAAAATAATACAAGATTGAATCTCAAAAAATAATCAAATTACAGGCTAAGGTAAAAGGATAACACACATTTTTATACAACACATAGGATTTGTTATAAATATCTGTAAGGGCAACACAGTAAAGCCAACCATACATGAATCAAAACTCAGATGGCTCGGCAGGAACTGGGGAAATTTGGATCCATGTACGAGCACCTGGTTGTACACAAATCAACTTATCAATCAACTTGTGTACAACAAGCCTGTCAGTTTTTTTCCAAACTGTTAGCCAGCAACACTAATCATTGTGTTCTGCTGGTATGGAAGGCTCTCTGCCTGCAGAACAGAATAACACTGCAGGAGGGGTTCCCTCATCAACAATGACTATGTTAACTGGAGAATTAAGCAATTTTCTTTCCTTCTACCTGTAGCCTGCATTACATTATGCTCTGTGTTTAATTAAATTAATCTCACTAAGATCTCCTGACATTTGAACAAATATGTTACACAACTCGCCATAGACAGAGCAATTTTCTTTCCAACACAGTTAGTGTTGATGGGGGAATCCCTCCCGGTGAGCTATTACATTATCCTGGCAGGAAGGGGGAGGGGGTTGGACCTGTCCCTGCCAGGACAGCACAGCGCTTACTGCTAGTGGCTATAATAGCAGCTAGAAATGATTGCATTTAAAATCCGACAGACTGGTTGTACCCTTGTTAATTGATCAACTTGGGTACATTTAGCCTGCCCATACATGGTTTGAATCTCAGCAGGTCCCTGCTGAACTGGTCTAGATTCAACCCGTCTATGGTCAGCTTTAGTATCTAGTAAAATATAATCATAATAGTGGGTTGCTCAATTAAGTTTACTGGTTTATGTATTTTTATTGTTAGTAGTGGTACTGCCAAGCAAGCTCTGTTATTCTACTCTTTCAGGGATCTTTTGTCTTTTATGTAATAAAGCTATGATGAACTGTTCATAATAGTGCTTACAACTTGCACTCTGTTAAGGATAGAGAGTCACTGTAATTTTGAGCAAAAAATGTTGCAGAGATAAAAAAAAACAAATTATGTGCTTAGAAAATGTTTTGATTATTTTTTAGATTTGTAGCTAGCTAGAAAAATCAATCCTTTTATGTGTTTTAAATGACTATAGCTATTTTGAGCACAATGGGAATGTTTCACCTAAGTCAGCTTGTTCATAGCTAAAACAAACTCTATTCAACTTAACATTTCCCCTGTGTTGTATCTATGGGAATAACCTTCCTTAACAGCCGCTAAACAACTTGCTTTATTCACTCTGTGAATGGAAGCTCATTAAAATTTGAATGAGTTCATTATAATTTTGGCCCTTGACCAGCTGGGCTCATGTCTTTATGGTGGTAATGATGGCTTGTACTGATGATCACAGTATTTCAGTGGATCCTCAATGCACGTCCTGTGGAAACTGGGTTTGTTGTAACTATGAGAACATATGTTAACAATTTCTTAATCACGACCAAAAAACAAAGCACAACAGTGTTTTCCTTTAATCATCTTTTAAACCATACTGTTATAATAATTGATGCATCACTTTCAAACATTTACCATACACCATATTATCATTTCATAAAAACGTATGCTTACTCTTAGCATACTGTATATAGCATACATTTTTGCACTTTGTGATATGTCAGTACTTTGAAATGAAGCTGACATCATGGTTGGCATGTGATGCCATAAAAGAAATATTAAAACAGCAATCCCAGATATTACATGCAGTACCACCACAGTACTCAGACTTTGGCTTGTCCAGTCAACTACAAAGGCAGTAAGGCTTGAAAAACCATGGAGGTCAATGCAGCAGTTTTGCTTTATTGTCATCCTTTGCCAGCAACACAAACAGTTGTGTTCAAAATAATAGCAGTCAGACATCACTAACCTGATCATTCACTGTTTTTGGTAGAAATGATATATTTCTACATGGCAAATAATTTACTAGCAGGTGTAGTAGAGTAATAGAAATCTAACAGACACAACAGTCATGACATGCATGCTACTGATTCTGTGTAATTGAATCACTAATTGAAAGGGGCATGTTCAAAATAATAGCAGTGTGGAGTTCTATTAGTGAGGTCATTCATTCTTTGAAAGACAGGTGGCAATTATTGCTCTTATTTAAGGAAGGAAGGCAGCAAATGTTGTACATACTAGTTACAGTGCATTTCTCTCTAAAATTCTGAGGAAAATGGGTCGTTCCAGACATTGTTCAGAAGAACAGCGTACCTTGATTAAAAGGTTGATTGGAGAGGGGAAAACATATAAAGAGATGCAGAAAATGATAGGCTGCTCAGATAAAATGATCACAAATGCTTTAAAATGGCAACCAAAACCTGAAAGACATGGAAGAAAGCGAAAAACTACCATTCAAATGGATAGAAGAATAGCCAAAATGGCAAGGACTCAGCCAACAATCAGCTCCAGGAAGATCAAAGAAGGTCTAAAGTTACCTGTGAGTGCTGTTACAATTAGAAGACACCTATGTGAAGCCAAGCTATCTGCAAGAAGCCCCAGCAAAGTCCCACTGTTGAAAAAAAGACATGTGCTGAAGAGGTTACAATTTGCCAAAGAGCACATTGACTGGCCTAAAGAGAAATGGCGCAACATTTTGTGGACTGATGAAAGTAAGATTGTTCTTTTTGGGTCTAGTGGCCGGAGACAGTTTGTCAGACGACCCCCAAACACTGAATTCAAGCCACAGTACACTGTGAAGACAGTGAAGCATGGTTGCGCAAGCATCATGATATGGGGATGTTTCTCATACTACGGTGTTGGGCCTATTTATCGCATACCAAGGAACATGGATCAGTTTGAATACATCAGAATACTTCAAGAGGTCATGCTGCCTTATGCTGAAGAGGAAATGCACTTGAAATGGGTGTTCCAAAAAGACAACGACCCCAAACACACCAATAAACCTGCAACATCTTGGTTCCAGACCAACAAGTTTGACGTTATGGAGTGGCCAGCCCAATCCCCGGATCTTAATCCAATAGAAAACTTGTGGGGTGACATCAAAAATACAGTTTCTGAGGCAAAACCAAGAAATAGAGAAGAACTGTGAAATGTAGTCCAATCATCCTGGGCTAGAATACCTGTTCACAGGTGCCAGAAGTTGGTTGACTCCATGCAACACAGATGTACAGCAGTTCTCAGAAACAGTGCTTATACAACTAAATATTAATTAAGTGATTCAAAGGAAAGCAAAATCTTCAAACATTTTTCAGTTTATATAGTGAATGTTTGAGTTTGTAAAGAAGAATACAAACACTGCTATTTGTTTTGAACAGTCTAATATTCACTTTTCTTTAATTTTTTTTAGAGGAACAACACAAATTTGATATATTTTTCTTCATGTTTTGATTTGGAATAGAATGTGTAGTGTTTAGAGATGAGCGAAGTATTCAAAAATTCGATTCGGCTGATTCGGCGAATTCGAGGAATAAATTTGTTTCGATGCGAATATATTCGCTGCGAATTTAACTTATAAAAGGGTGTTTCTAGGCTTCAGAGAGCCTTCATATTAGTGCAGAACACTGTACCTTTAATTTAAATGCCCTTGGAGTCTGCTGGGGAAGAGAAATAATACTGTCAGTCAGTATGACATGCAGATGAGTGCCGTCGATCTTAGAATCACCGCACAATTCACTCATTTGGGCAGTCACGGGGCCAAAACCAGAGTGTGGATCCACAGTGTGGCGGTGGAGGCAGCAGCAATGGGAGGCCATACAGCACCCTATGACAAAAATGGAACCCACCAGCAGTGTGAGGAGACCTGAAAGTGGCACATGGCAGAGTGTGGCGATGGAGACAGCAGCAATGGGAGGCCGTACAGGGACCCATGACACACTCTGGACCTGGCAGCAGCATTAGGAATCGGTACAGGGGCCCATGGCAGATTACGGGCCTGGCAGCAGCAATGGGAGGCCCGTAATCTGCCAGCACCCTATGACAAAATGGAACACACCAGCAGTGTGAGGAGACCTGAAAGTGGCACATGGCAGAGTGTGGCGATGGAGACAGCAGCAATGGGAGGCCGTACAGGGACCCATGAGAGACTCTGGACCTGGCAGCAGCATGAGGAGGCGGTACGGGGGCCCATGGCAGATTACGGGCCTGGCAGCAGCAATGGGAGGCCCGTAATCTGCCAGCACCCTATGACAAAATGGAACACACCAGCAGTGTGAGGAGACCTGAAAGTGGCACATGGCAGAGTGTGGCGATGGAGACAGCAGCAATGGGAGGCCGTACAGGGACCCATGAGACACTCTGGACCTGGCAGCAGCATGAAGAGGCGGTACAGGGGCCCATGGCAGATTACAGGCCTGGCAGCAGCAATGGGAGGCCCGTAATCTGCCAGCACCCTATGACAAAAAATGGAACACACCAGCAGTGTGAGGAGACCTGAAAGTGGCACATGGCAGAGTGTGGCGATGGAGACAGCAGCAATGGGAGGCCGTACAGGGACCCATGAGACACTGTGGACCTGGCAGCAGCATGAGGAGGCGGTACAGGGGCCCATGGCAGATTACAGGCCTGGCAGCAGCAATGGGAGGCCCATAATCTGCCAGCACCCTATGACAAAATGGAACACACACCAGCAGTGTGAGGAGACCTGAAAGTGGCACATGGCAGAGTGTGGCGATGGAGACAGCAGCAATGGGGAGGCCGTACAGGGACCCATGAGAGACTCTGGACCTGGCAGCAGCATGAGAGGCGGTACGGGGGCCCATGGCAGATTACGGGCCTGGCAGCAGCAATGGGAGGCCCGTAATCTGCCAGCACCCTATGACAAAATGGAACACACCAGCAGTGTGAGGAGACCTGAAAGTGGCACATGGCAGAGTGTGGCGATGGAGACAGCAGCAATGGGAGGCCGTACAGGGACCCATGAGAGACTCTGGACCTGGCAGCAGCATGAGGAGGCGGTACTGGGGCCCATGGCAGGCAGCATTGGGAGGCCCGTAATGCTGCCAGCACCCTATTACAAAAAAAAGTGGAACACAACCAGCAGTGTGAAGGAGACCTTTAAAGTGGCACATGGCAGATGGTTGTGGCGATGAGACAGCAGCAGCAATGGGAGGACCGTAACAGGGTACCCATGGAGAGAACACAGGAGACCTCTGGCAGCAAGCATGAGGAGGCGGTAACGGGGGGCCCATGAGGCAGATTACGTGGAACGGGCCAGGCAGCAGCAAATGGGAGGCCCCCGTAATCTGTCCAGCACCCTATGACAAAAAGGAACACACCCCGCGTGTGAGGGACCTGAAAGTGGCCAGGCAAGTGTGGCGATG